CAGCCTAAACTAATTTGATCAAATCCAATCCAAATCAAATCCAAATCAAATCCAAATTAAATCCAAATCAAATCCAAATCAAATCCAAATCAAATCCAAATCGATTTGATTTGACTGAATCAAATAAATTTGACTTCAAATGATCAGATTTGGTCAGATGACTCAGATCAAATCACAATAAAATTAGATCATCTAGTGATCTACATCACTATTCACTACATATGATAAATTGATAATCTCTTTTTTTTCGCTTTCATTTTACCATTTTGCCACTTTGAATTTTTCCAAAATTAGACTTAAAATTAAAATTAATTAATTTACCAAAATTTTACTAATTAAATGATATTTTTAAAGATATGGATTTAGAGGATATGAATATTGATGAAGACATTGAAGTTGATAATGATGCGTCTAATAAATCAATAATTTCGGAAGAAAGAGAAGGTGTTAGTAAAGCAAGTGACGTATGGAAGTATTTTACGAAGGATGTAAGCTATAAACAAAATAAAAAGGCGAAGTGTAATTTATGTGGAGTTACTTATATATGTACTGGAGGCAGTACATCGAATTTGAATAAACATATAAAAAACAAACATTCTGGCTCTGAAAAATTACAAGAAATGTCTATTAAAGATATTCTTAAGGCTGTGCCAAAGGTAAATATATAGAATTATAATTTATTTAAGTAATTGTTATTAAGTATTAACAAATCTATATTATTTATTAGTGGAGATACAATAATAATGAAATGTTAAAGTGTCTTATTAAGTGGATCATTATTAATCAGCACTCATTTACAGTAGTTAAAGAATCAGCTTTTGCAAATCTTATATATACACTCCAACCCGATGCTAGACTAATCTCAGCTGATACTGTCAAAAAAAGAATTATGGATTTATATGAAAATAATGTAAACAAAGTTAAAGAATCTTTTAAGAATATTAGAGAAAAGATCTCTTTTACCATTGATATTTGGACGTCTCCCTCTTCAAAATTATTTTTATCATTAACTGCTCATTATATTGATAATGATTAGAAATTGAGAAATGTACTGGTTGATTTTATATAAATCTTTGTTAATTTTTTTTTTTTATTAATTTTTTTGCTTTAACCTTCAATTTAAATATTTAATTCATTTAATTTTGATTAATTTAAGGTAAACATACGGGAGAGAATATTAAAAATACATTTATGACTGGAATAAGTAAACTATCATTACAAAATAAGGTAAATTTCGGTTTGTTTTATTAAAATTATATTGTTGTAATTTATTAATTTAATAATATTATTTACAGATAATGGGAATTACGACTGACAATGCAGCCAATAATCTAACATTTATTGATGCATTAGCAAAAAATAATAGTTTTTTTCAAAAGGAAAACCATTTTAGGTGTTTTGCTCACGTCATTAATTTATGTGTTCAAGATATTTTAAAAGAATTAGATGATAGATTTTTAAGTCAGGTAAGATAATTGTATTTATTTATCAATAAAATTGTATGATTTTATTAAACAAATATTTTATTTCATAATATATAGCTTCGAACACTTTTAGGTAAAATCCACTATTCTCCACAACGTCAAGAAAAATTGAGTTCCAACTGTAAACTACATGAAATCATTAATTTAAAAGTTGTTTTAAACGTGTCAACTCGTTGGAATTCTACATTTGATATCACTAAGGTTGCTTGTCTAAACCTCTTCAAAATCTTACGATTAGTTTCGTCAAAATTTTACTATAGATTTATTATAGTTTCAGCAGAGTTTCAGCAGTTTCGGCATTTATAATAAGTTTCGGCAGTTTCGCCTTTCTCCAAAGTTTTGCCAGTTTTTTAATATAACTTTAATATAGTTTCGGCAGAATTTCGCTTTTCGGCGAAACGCTATCTTGCCTAAACCCCTAGGTTTTGGCAAGCAACCTTATATATTACTTTTAAAGACGTAACATTTGCAAAACTGCGGAATTTTGCCAATTTGGATCAACACCTTTTAATACCTTTTAATAATATTCCTTTTTAAATTTTTATCTTTGGATTTTTCTTAAAACTGGTAAAGTATTCTCAAATGTGGTAAATGTTCTCACACTCTTTAAATTAAAGTTCAGACTTTTTATGATTGAATTGTTTCAAAAATTGAATTACCTGAATTTGTGGTAAAAGTGAAGTTGGCTAAGTGCTGGTATTTCTTGTATAAATTTGACAACTGAATCGATTTTATCAGTTCAGCTGATAAACTTGTATCCCGACGAATTTTATAGTGATCCTTCTTGGCTTTTTCTATTTTAATTTCATAATAAAGTGTCCCCATAAATAAATTGATTATGTACAAATGACATCTTGATTTTATATTTGGTAATAATGTGGAGACCTAGTCTGATATAGTATTCATTTATTATAAATTTGAAAATTTCGCAATGTTTTTTAATGCAAGAGCAAGTATGAATAAAAAAAACCAAGTTAAGAAACAAGTTATTTCAAACAATATCGAACATTTGACCATTTATTCAAAATTTGATTATGATGCAGACAGAGAAATATAATAAATCGTAAAGATGGCAAGTAAATAAATTTACAATTCATATTAAAATGGAATTACAATTGAAATTAGAGAATACTTATAACAAAATTAAAAATTTGTACATACTGGATATAATTACTTACAATAAATTACTTTATAATGTTAATATATTGAAAATAACAAACGACTTTTAGAAAATTATAAAACTACTCACGAGACATTAGAAAGCGAAAATAAAATTGACAAAAATTTAAATAACGAATCAAAGAAAAAATTTAATGATAATCAAAAAAAAGTTGCTTCTATTTTACAGGTTATATATATTAATGTTTTTTAATAATAGTTTTATTTGAATTTTACTAATTATTATTTTAATTTTTGTAGAATACGTCTTCTTTTACAATCGATGCAAAAAATGATAATGAGTCTAAATTTGCCAACACTTTACAATGCGAACCAAAAAAAAAATTCATTAAAAAGAAAAATCTTAACGAAATTATTAAATGGATTATTGAATTTTTAAGACTTTTTTTTATTTTTTTTAAGTTCATTTTATTTGTTGTTTTTCTGAATTATCCCTACAAAGTTAAAAATTTTATAATTTTAAATTATAGATATTTATTTTTTATTTTTTATTTATTATTTATTTTTTTATTTGCATTAAGCTTTAACATTAAGCATCTTCTGAAACTTTTTATATATTTATTTAATGGAAATACTACTTATAGAGTTTATGGCAGAGGATTTTGCAGCAACTTAACAATATATTCGCATAGTATATTCAATTACAATTAAGAATTAGACATTATCAAGTAGCTTTTATATCTTAATCCATATTTTAATCCTATCTTTATTTAATTTTAATATTTTATGCTTTTGTTTGATTTTTTTTAATAATTACGCCAGGGAGGGTCAGAAATATAGCGAACAATATTTTTTATATTTTTTCGTTAGTATATATGTTTGCTATAGAGTAGAGGTCCGTTTGCACCGCATTGCGTCAGGAAGGGTCGGAAATATAGCGAACAATATTTTTTATATTTTATTTAACTAGTTTTTGTTTTGTACATATGATTGTTATTGATTAAAAAGTGACTTATAAAGTGTGTAGCATGGGATATTGTAGTGATTTGTCATATAATTACGCATTTTATTTTGTTAATTTCAATTTTAATTCAAATTAGAATCAGAAATATTAGTTTTACCTATATATTAAACCTTACTATATTATTTTTTTTCTTTTTGTAACTAATTATCTTTAGATTTTTATTACCCTTTAATGTTACATGATCAAGCATTATTTTCCTAGTAATTTTAATTTAATTCATTTTTTTATAAATGACTACACGTTTAAAATATAAATTGTTGCATATTTAGCGTTAGTGATTAATAAATCAATACATTTTTCGCAAAATCAAAATAAAGTTTATAAATTGCTAAATTTAAAAATATTAATAAAATTATTAAAATACGAATTTGACAATTTGTGTTTTTACACTTATTGTCAATTTTTTTAAGCTTTCACTTTATACGTTTTCGATGATTTAAATAATACATTTGCCTATAGATAAAAGGTAGTCAGTAAAACTGAGTGAATACAATCACATATTAACCATTTATACTCTTTATAAAAATAAGCAGGACGATAAAGAATAAATCTATAAAACCTATCCTTCAGGTACAGTTCGACGTCCTCAAATTTCGAACCTGGACTTAATTAATAAACAATTATATTCACCTTATTTTAATTCAGTTTGAAGTAGAAGTATCGGTTTTTTCCAAACTGATGAACTTTCAAAAGCTACTTTTTAATCATTTTGATAATAAATTACTTCAAAACAGTTTCTATCGCAGTTAAAATGCACTCTTTATTGATTTTTTCCTTACATGCAATACATTACACAAAAGTTATTTATCAAAATTGGTTCAGTTGACTGTAACGTTCGATCATTGCTTATAATGGCAAATTAAATTACATAACATCTGTCAATTAACTCAATTTTTATATGACGCGTGACAATAAATCTATATAAAAATGTTTCGTTAAACTGATTTATTTATTTTGACTTACGACTTTTACTAAATACATATAATAATGACAATTCAAAATACTGGAGTAACCATTTCATTTCATGCCTTCGGACATAATGATATAGTTAATACTTTTACTGGACCAAATATTGTATCTCCTCTTTTATTAAGATCAGCAGTTGTTTATTATTATGGTTTGTGAAATTATATTCTGAATATGACCATGTAATAATTAGATTATTTTAAAATATTTAACTTTCTATCTATTTTATTTATTTTGTAGGAACAACAATGTTAATTGTTCGTATCAATAGAAAAAAATATCATGCGATTACTGTCAAAACTTACGAAGATAATGATGACATTGTTTTTATGAGCGGCCAATATGATAAAGTTTACCATAAGGCTTGGGCTTTAGTTGAAGAATTTAAATATGCATATTTTAGTTATAAAATGGGAAAAATCAATGGTGTTATTTCTTCTTATAAAGAATTAGAATATTTTGATTTATATTATTAATCAGCTTGATCTATCATAGATTTTTATACCAATAAAAGTTAAAATTTATTTCATTTGTCACATGATGCGAATAATTGGATTAAATTTCTTTAACATGATAATAGGCAATTTCTAGTATTCAGGATTTCAGGTATTCACCAGGTAAGAGCAATTTTTTCTTAAATTTATTTACGTTATCACAAATAATAGTTTGTTTGTATATCTGATGTAATAAGTACGTGTTATCACTTTTTTATAATTTGATAGAAGTACCAACAGGCTACAGTATCATTAAGGAACAGTTCGATTTCAAATTATTACAGTAAAATGCTAATAACTAATATATTTGTACAGTATTCAGAACTGTATTCTCTACTGAATTTCACGTGTCAGTCGAATTATGCGTGAAACTAGGACTATGCTAACAATACTAATAGGATAACACGAGTCATAAATACAATATTATGCTGGAGCCTTAGTTCTTGGATAGTAATTTAATAAGATTTATTAGAAATCAGTTTTATTCATAAAAGGATATACCGGTATCATGTGTTTTTGTTTATTATAAAATTCAATAACTCGATTTCTTTCGCGTGAACTTTTGCGAGAAATTTTTAAAAATGGATTGCAAAATATTAAGTTTTTACATTCTTGTTTATTAGTAAATGAATTTTGGTGCTATACCGTAATTCCAATTTTGTGGAATTGTCCCTTTCATTTATTGTTACATCATGATAAAAAGTATTCTCAACATATTATTTACACTTAATATTCTTGCTTGAAAAACAAGCATCATTTAATTATCATGAAATTACGTATTGATACGTTTTTATATCATTAAAAAATTTTGCAAGGGGTGTAATTTCCAATTTTAAGGAATCGTCCTTTTCATTTATTATTATATTACAATAAACACCATATTATTTTATTTCACTTATTATTTTTGCTTGAATAAACAAGCCACATAAAATTATCAAACATTTTTACTCTTTTTTAGCTTTTGTACAAGAATGGTGTACATTAAATTTACACGGTAATGATTTATCTGCTTTACAAATACACCAAAAAAATAATTTTATTTTTTGATGCTTAAAATCTTGATTCAATAAATCAAATTCGAAGCGATATTTTAAATTGGATAAAATGATGAGCTGACACTTGCGCTTTCACTCATCAAGTGTAATTGTTTCGATTAAGTTATGTCTTTCTAAAGTTTTATTAAACTCACATAATCTTTTTTTGATAGTAACAATTCGTCATTTTAATTCAATATTTTCTTTTGTTAGGTCAGATACTGCATTTAATAAAGTATCAATTAAGCTTACTTCGTCCTGTATTTTCTTAACAGATTTTCCTTTTACTAATTCGATTTTTCGTCGTAATTCTCTTTGCTTTTGCGCTAAGTAACTTGGACTGACGTTTTGAAGAAAATCAACGAAAGAAGAAGCAGCAGATTGAGAAGGAGGTTGGGAAAGTAAATATTTTGGTGATGGTGATTTAGATAAAGGATATAAATACGGAGAAGAAATACGAGGCTCAAAGATATAGAGAGGAATGGCAACATCTTCTTGTATTATTTCATGAATTAAGTTATCTAGATTTCTTTTGTTTCGATAAAAAATTACTTTATTGTTTTCGAACCTTTGTTGTAGGTTCTGATCATTTTTATAATTCTGGGCCAATTTTAAGTTTATACTTTTGGAACATGTATGATATTTTTTTTTTTCGGCCTCAGTAATATGAATAGATCGCACTACTCAACCATGTTTGTTGTGTTGGTTGTAAGTGTTAATTGAGACGATTCTTCTCTCCACGCGTTCGTTGTTTTCGTTGGTTGAGCAAAATAATACACATCGGGCACATGTACAATTCATTTTTGATTGAAGTTAAATTGTAAAATAATTGGGTGGTAAAAAATGAAAAATTTTGCTTATTTAAATTAAAAATAAGAATACCTTGAAAATAAAATACCCATTCTAAATTATGACTCCAGAAACACTACATCATACATTACGTAGAGTAGACTGTATAGTCCATTATATACATCATAAACAGTATAATCATGTTCGAGATAATACTTTATCAATTTCTATCCAATGCAACTTTACCTAATTTATCAAGATTGATGTTGTTATCAACTATATGTTAGTTCTGATTTTGGATAAAATTGACCATGAGATGCTTCAGCAAAAAAATTATCAAAATAATGTCCGTATGCTAGTTTAAAATCCTTGGATTTCGTATTTGAATTTGATTGTTATACATATTGTTAGTTTAGAATTGACTAATTTAATAAATTCAAATGTATTTATAGCGATAATTATGAATTTAGATCATGATCCAAAAATTAGAAATATTTGTTATATGTAATAGAGCTTTTTATATTGAAATTGGAAACGCTTAGAGATTTCATTGCATTATGAAATTTAACCAAATTGTGAGCTACTATAGATGTTGTAAATTTTCCTGCTTTATTTTTTTTATTGAAGAATTGTAAAAAATTAAAATGCTTGGAATTTTATGGAAATAGTAAACCGTTGGATGTGACTACATTCTGCTAAAATTAGGTTTGTCTCTTTCATAAATTGGTGGAGGATCAAATCGAAGATTTACAAATTATAGTTTGTTAATTTTTTAAAAAATTCGCAAAGAGTTATTAAATAGAAAGAATCCAAAAAATTACATAATATAACAAAAAAATCTTTTATTGATTACCATAAAAATTTTCAGTGAGAATCTCACAGACAGCAACGCAATTTCAGCAAGAGATCCACAAATGATAAAATGGATATCATTACCCTCTAAATGATTCCAGAAGGTTAATTGACAACAATAACTTATGGATACACTTAACTTCATCCAACTTTTTATATAACCTAACTTGGTTGTCATCTTTAAATGACGATTTATCTCAAATTCATTCACAAATATTCAAAGATTTATTTTTATTTCACATATAAGCCCAATAATCATGACCTTTCCTAACTAGACTACCTACTATTCGTTACTACTAATTTCTTTTCTTAGGATCCTAGATTTTTTTTTATGTTCGATCTCTTTATCAGTAGCGTAGTTTTACTGTTAGAATAGTGTAACCCGGAGGGTATCCTGCAGACAGGGTGAGAACCTGTCTATGGGATTGTAACCACAACACGATTAATTGTATAGTTATTTACTTTTATAGTTGTTAACTTCTTTTATGTATTAGTAATAGGTTTCTCCTCTCTGAAATAAAATAAATAAATAAATAAATAAATTTTAATTCAAATTATTTAAACTGTAAATAAGATGGAGTGTTTGATATATTTCAAACTAAAATAAATTTTATTTTTTTCATTGTCAAATAGTCAATTTCTTCTAATCAATAAAATTCATAAAATAAACGAGCTGAACTATCTCTTTGAATATAATTTTTAAAAAAGTAACGATTTTCACTCTAACTAAATCAACCATTTTTCTTGTCACAATTTCTCTTAAAATTTTTGAACTCTTTATTAAATTCTATTCCTTTAGTTTTTTCACTCTCATAAAACCAGTGTAAAGCAAATTCTCTTCTCTCAACCTTTTAATTACCACTTCATAATTGTCGTTAACAACTAAATGATTACCAATATTTTCTTTTAATTTTTGATTTTCACATTGTAATTATACTTTTCGTCAAAATGACAAAATACTAATTAAATTTATTTTGACAGACGTAATGTATTTTGACAGACGTAATTAATTCATAGTAATTTTATAATAAATAGTGAATTGGTTTGTTCGCCGAAATATGACGTAATTAATTAGCGGAGAAGTATAATTGTAATGTATCTTTAACAGTTGTAAGATCTTTGATAAATGCCTTATATACTTTTTGATTATCGATGACTACATTTAAATAGTCGTTAATAGCAGTAAAGTCATCTTTTACTTTGCAATTTTCGAGTCCCAATTTGTTGTTAACAGTTGTAAGATCTGCAATATATAATTTTAGGTCATTAATACCATTTTCAAAATTTCCCTTTAATGTTAGATTTTTGAGTCCCAATTCATTGTTAACGTTTGTAAGACTTTTGATATTATCATTTAAATTATCGATTATTACTTTTAATTTGTCATTTTCAAAAGTAGCGTTAACAATATTTTCTTTTAAATTTTGATTTTCGCATTGTAATATATCTTTAACAGTTATAAGATCTTTGACATTTTCTTTTAAATCAATTACTACTACTTTTAATTTGTCGTTATCTAATGCAAACTTATCAATATTTTTCTTTAATTTTTAATTTTCGAGTTCATATTTTTTTTGATTATTGACAGCTACTTTTAAATTATCGTTAACAACATTATAATTATTTTTCAAATTGTAATTATCGAGTTCCAGAACTTTGACATTTTCATTCAGATTAAAGACTGACTCTTTTAATTTGTCATTTTCAGATGTAATCTTATCAATAATTTCCTTTAATTATTGATTTTTGCATTCATATTTTTTTTGATTATCGACAGCTACTTTTAAATTATCGTTAACAACATTAAAATTATTTTTCAAATTGTAATTATCGAGTTCCAGAGCTTTGACATTTTCATTCAGATTAAAGACTGACTCTTTTAATTTGTCATTTTCAGATGTAATCTTATCAATAATCTTCATTAATTATTGATTTTCAAGCTCATTTTTTTTTTTGATTATTGACAGCTACAATTAAATTATCGTTAACAACGATAAAATTATTTTCCAAATTGTAATTATCGAATTCCAGAGCTTTGACATTTTCATTCAGATTATAGATTGATTCTTTTAATTTGTCATTATCAGATGTAATCTTATCAATATTTTCCTTATATTGTTGATTTTCAAGTTCCAATTTTTCTTTAACAGTTGTAAGATCTTTGATATATTTTTTATAAGCATTTTGGTTACCGATAGCTAGTTTATAATTATCGGTAACAACAACAAAATCATTCATCAATTTTTCGTTAGCAATCGTAAGAGCTTTGATATTATTATTTAGGTCACCATTTTTATGTTTCAAAGAATCTATAACTTGTGTAAGAAATTCAATTTCTTTACGATAATTAGCAATTTTGCCTTTTGAACTGACATTTTCTTGAGCTTTGTCGAGATTTAAATTGGTATTTTTTTGAATATCGATTAAAAGATTGGATAATTGAATATTTTTATTATTTAAATCATTTATTTTACTTTTATATTCATTAATTTCGGCGATATAAGTATTAATAAGTATCTCCATATTAACGAAAGTTGTAATCAAATTTTGTAGACTTAATAGAGTGGTTTAAATAATATTTTGTTTACGCCCAAAAAGCAAATTTCCAACTGGTTTAGAACACCAATAAAAAAAATGTTTACTTGAATCACGTGTTTGACGTAAAGTTTCATGACACGTGATTTTAATTGAAATTTTTTAAACACGAAATCTTTAGAAACTTTCACCAACTTTTATTTAAAAGAGATTACTTCCGAATTTGTGGTAAAAGCAAAAAGTTTTGTAATGTGACTACAATTCAATAATTCTTCCACTGAAATCGCGTGACATGGACACATGGTTAGTAATTGTTTGCCCCTTAAAATTACGTCATTTTTAAAAATTATTTTTTGTATAAATATAGTTTGAATTTCCACAAGTATTTCCACATCCGTACTTTAATGATGAATACGCAAAGTCTCTCATCAAATGACAAAGGTTTACTAACAAAATTATCACAAAATAATGAAACTACTATTGTTAGTAACAATAATGCTTATTTTAAAGGCAATTTTTATGAAAAAAAAAATAATGAGTGGGTAGACTCTGACCTTAATGAATTTACTAAAATATTAAATGCGGAATCATTTTTTGGTAATTATAACAATTGTTTTTATAATTATATTATTATTAATTATTTTTATTAATTTTTTTTTCTTTTTTTTATTATTAATTAGATGATACGTTTAAGCAAATTGTACGACAAATAAAACGTAAAAAAAATTATAAAATTAAAAGTAGAGGGAAAGCGACACAAATTGAGATTTACGATAAATTTCGCACGTTTTTAAATTATAATAAAGTAAATGTCGAAGATGATATTGAAATATTCGAAGAGTTTTCTGGATTTCAAAAAGTACTCGAAGAGTTTGAAATTAAAATTAAAATTGGAAATATTTTAGATATTTTAAATAATCGAAGTAAAGGTGTGTCTTATTATAGGAATTTACTAAATCTTTATTTTTTAAGATATTATAACGATAAAAAATTTGTCAAGAAAATAATAATTGATTTAATCAATAATAAGAAAAAAAGAACTAGAATCAAAACATTATCAAATCGTTTTTATATAATAGCTAAAAGTTGTGTAAAAAGAAAATGGCAAGTTTGTGATATTGGACCATCTTATTTACTTGACATAAAAAATGAAAAATGGGATGAACTTTTAAAAGAATTAAATATAGAAAATATAGAAGAAAGTGATAATGATGAGGATGTATAACGATTTTTAACATGTGAAATAAATTTCTTTATTGCAATTTTTATAACTGTTTATATTTTTTTATTTTAAACATTTTTGTAATTATTATTGTGGTTATAAGTATTTAATTTTTCATAATTTTGAAGTTTATTAATTAAGTGTCTATACTCTATACCAGATATTAGATAGCCATATTAAACTTTTTCGCAAAATAAAATTAGAACATTTTGTAAGGTTATTTCACGCAGGATCTTTGCGAGGTTACTTTGGAAGGTGTCTTTGTGCAGGATTATGTTCAAATTTTATTATTCGACTCGATAATATTAAAAATTATTTTTGTGATTTCATGTCACGTGATTAATTCTGAATTTTATTGGCCAGATGTTTGAATGGATTTAGCTAAATCTAATATTGTTATTCTCCCTGCTAAATTTTTTATCATATTCACAAATGTATCATAATATTTCGTTATTGGACAGAAATTATGTTGACGAGACTTTTTTATAATAAAAAAAAAATGGTTATGTAAGAGCAATAGTGCAATTTAAAATTTTTTGTAATTAACGTTGTTTGTAATAATTTAAAAAATGTAAGTAATTGTTATTTGTTATTTGCTTAATATTGCAGAAAATATTAAATATATGAATTTTTTAGCTGGAACTTAGGTTACGATCTAAAAATTTCTACTTTGAATTGCAACAAAATCTTGAAATTCAATTGTTATATGGAATTGACGATGTTTATATTGAAATTGAGGAAGCATTAATTAAAAGAAAACACTTATTAAATATAAATTGAATTTGTTGATTCTCGAATAATTCGTATAAATTCTTTAGGCTGGATTTCACAATGTGATAATTTGGATACTTTAAATTTATTTACACTTCAGTTTTATTTGAGATATTTCTAACTAACATATCAAATCAAAAATATTTTGATAAATTGAGAAGCTTCAGTTGGTAGTTAAAGACTATAAAAGCATTATTATTGATTTTATTATTAATATTATCTGATCATGTAATTCAAAATTGCAAGAGTTCGAATTTGTTCAAAAATAAAATTAGATTTTTGATTTATTTTATACATTAATAATTTAAATAACATAAAGTTTGTGATAACAAGAGTATTGGATAGTTGGTTTGGATTACTCTAATTATGGCAACTAGTATAATTTATTCAATTTCTAAACATTATTGACGTAAATAAATAAAAATAAATTTTCTGTAGTTGTCTACCTGTCTACGTAAGTACTTTTTATTGCCAGTTGTGCAGTGTATTATTTAAAAAAGCCAAAAATTAAAACAACGGGATTCTTTTAAAAGAAGATGATCTCTCAACAATACAAATTATTACGATCACTATCATTGCCCGCTAAATGACTCCAGAAGACATAATGAAAATAACAATTAATGGATATACCTCACGTCCTCAAATTTTCTACACAACTTACCATGGTTATCATCTCTTAACAACGATCTGTCACAAACTCACTTCAATATTTTCACAATTTATTTTTATTTCACATATAAGTCCGACGAGCATTTTTTTACCATACTCTAACATCTACTGATAACTTACTAATTTTTTTATATAGATTTATTGTTAGGAGCGTTTTATATTTTATCTTTTCTCATTTTCCCATTGTCAGTAGTGTTGTTTTACTGTTAGCGTAGTTTCGCCCAGAGGGTAAGGTACTGTTGAAGGGATATATAACCTCAGCATTCATAATAATATAGTTATCCGCTAGAAATAGTTGTTACTTCTATTATGTACTCTTCATTGGTTACTTCTTCCTGAAAAAAAATATATATATATATACTCTCCTGACTAAGGTTGCTTGCCGAAACCTAGGGGTTTAGGCAAAATGGAATTTAACCGAAAAGCGAAATTCTGCAAAAACTATATTAAAGTTATATTAAAAAACTGGCGAAACTTTGGAGAAAGGCGAAACTGCCGAAACTTATTATAAATGCTGAAACTGCCGAAACTCTGCCGAAACTATAATAAATCTATAGTAAAATTTTGACAAAACTAATCGTAGGATTTTGAAGAGGTTTAGACAAGCAACCTTACTCCTGACTAGTCTTAAAATAAAAAATCTTTTTTGTTTTATCTTTTTTTTTGTCTTAAACTTTTAATACATTTATTTATATTCCTTAAATTAATAAATCCAAGTAAAATTTTTGAAAAAATACATTTTAAACATAATTAGGTAAAAGTATAAGTGTTTGCATTGTGACAGACAGCTCAATTCACATAATTTATAATTGTATCGTATTTCTTATATTTATCATTATATGTTTAAGTCATATTTATTTAAATTTAAATTTAATTTAAATTATAGAAATTAGAATTTGCATTTTAATTTAGGTGAAAGCGTAAGTGTTTGCATCGTGATAAATAGCTTAATTGAAAAAAATTCTCGCAAATACGATTAATATTGTGAAAGAATCACAAGAAAACAAATCGCTTTGTTTTAAATTTTAAAAATTTGTGGATTCATTGCAAAATTAGGTAAAAGCGTAAGTATCTGCATTTTGACAGACAGCCTACTTCACATATAATTGAATCATATTTTTCAAATTGTTTTAGATTTAATTTTGATTGAAGTTACAAAAATTAGAATTTGTATTTTAATTTAACCGAAAGCGTAAGTGTTCGCATTGTGACAAAAAGCTCAATTGAGAAATATTCTCACAAATTCAGTTAACATCGTGGAAGTATCACAAAAAAACAAATCGCTTATTTAAAATTTTAGAAATTTTTGAATCTATTGCAGAATAAAATAGTGTCTGCATTGTGACAAACAGCATAATTCATATATAATTGAATCATATTTTTCAGAGTTATTATTATTTTATATGTCAATAATGTCTAACAATAAGTCAAACAGGACCAGAAATATATATATAGGGGTCAGGTGATGAAAAAAATTTTTTACTATGAGCTGTACGCATTTTTTCAGGGCCAGAATTATGATAATGCCAGTCGGTTACTATAATAGGAAATAAAAGTCTGACTGGCATTATCAAAAATTATCTAAAAAAGGAAAGATTTTCATGACTTTTTTAGTTCAAAATACGCAAACTCAAACCTGACCCTTTTATATATATTTCTGGGTCCTAGTCAAACAATAAATAAATCTATAGTTATCTTGCCATTTTAATTTAACTAGTTTATGCCATAAATCAACAATTGACACAAGTATTTTAATTAAAACATTTTATGAATTTTTAAATATCAATATGTTTAACAAAATATTTTAATTCAACAAATAATTAGTACTAATTGGTTTAATATGAAATATAATATAGAGATCACAATATTTCTATAAAAATCTAAAATTAATAAAGGCTAAATCTAAAATACACAATTTCAGGTAGCATTCAGAGATAACTTAATTTTACTTAATTGTGCAATTTTGTTTTAGTTAAAAAATTCTTTATCTTGTATCATAAATATTTTATGTGAAGCTGATAAAATCTTGTATCATAAATATTAACAAATCGATGATAAGCTCTAAGAGAATCAAAAGATTACGTGATTTTCCAACTCAAAATGGCTTCAGCATCACACCCAGCGCATTCACTGTTTATATTAATTAGTTTTCTTTAAAAAAAAGCTTTAAAGTAAAAATATGAGCGTTCATTTGACATATATAAATGCGTCATTTAATACAAATAGATTACACAAAGTTGTGTATATTTAACTTGTTGATTCATTACGTGATGGATTTACCATAGATTTCCACGCTTTAATATTAGGTCAACAAGATAACGACTCAGCTAGATTGTTGAAGTAATACGCAACGTACTTTCACGATTTATGATTTCCTAAATAGAAATATAATTTAAAAAGTTTGTAAGGCTTAAAATTTAACATTGATAGAGCTCCGAACAGGTCAGCCAAATTCAGGTAACCTGACCTGACCTGACCTGAAATTCAGGTCAGGTATGAGATTTTTAAAAAAAATTCAGGTCAGGTATGAAGATTGACCTGACCTGATTGACCTGTTGACCTGAAACTATTGATTCTACTATATA